GTCTTCAACTTAGAGCAAGGAGAAGTCCCAGAGATAAGGGAGGGAACATCAACCCAGACACCACTAAAGGAGTTTGTGATTACCAGTGGGGAGGTGAGGAAGCATCTGCTAGATTTGGACGTGACAAAGGCTATAGGCCCGGATGGAATCTCATCGTGGATTCTAAAGGAAGGAGCAGAAGCTCTGTGCCTACCACTCTCCATGGTGTACAACAAGTCACTGGTAACAGGTGAACTGCCAAAAAGTTGGAAGACGGTCAATGTAGTCCCAGTATACAAGACTGGCAGGAGGCACTGAATTACAGGCCAGTGTCCCTAACTTGCATTCCATGCAAGATGATGGAAAAGGTTGTGCAAAAAAAGCTAGTTGAACATCTGGAGCAAAAGACCTTTGTAACACATCATCAACATGGATTCAGAGATGGCAAATCACGCCTAACAGGATTAATTGAGTTCTACGACCAGGCAACAAAAACCAGGCAAGAGAGAGAGGGCTGGACAGACTGCATATTTCTGGACTGCCAGAAAGATTTTGACACAGAACCACACAAGAGACTAGTGCACTAACTGGAGATGCAGGCAGGAGTGAAAGGCAAGGTACTCCACTGGATAAGAGAGTACCTAAGCAACAGGACACAGCGAGTCACCGTGAGGGGTGAGGTCTCGGAGTGGCGGGAAGTCACCAGTGGAGTCCCACAGGGATCAGTCCTTGTACCTATACTGTTTCTGATATACGTAAATGATCTTCCAGAAGGAACTGACTCGTTCCTCTCGATGTTTGCTGATGACGCAAAAATTATGAGGAGGTTCAGGACAGAGGAGGATAGTATGAGGCTACAAGATGACATAGACAAACTGAAGGAATGGTCCGACAAATCGCTACTAAAGGTCAACCCAAGTAAATGTAAGGTAATGAAAGTAGGAGGAGGAACTAGGAGGCCAGTCTCTGGATACCAAATGGGAGATGACGTCCTTCACGAAACGGACAGAGAGAAAGATCTGGGAGTTGATATTACGCCAAACCTGTTTCCTGAAGCCCACATCAAAAGAATATCATCAGCGGCCTATGCGAGGCTGGCTAACATCAGAACTGCTTTCAGAAACATGTGTAAGGAATCCTTCAGAACCTTGTATACCACATATGTAAGGCCAATCCTGGAGTATGCAGCCCCAGCATGGAGTCCGTATCTAGTCAAATCACAAGACGAAGCTGGAAAAAGTTCAGATGTATGCCACTAGGCTAGTCGCAGAACTAAGAGGCATGAGTTATAAGGACAGACTACGTGAACTGCACCTCACGTCGCTGGAAGGCAGAAGAGCTAGGGGAGACATGATCACCACATACAAAATTCTCGGGGGAATTGACAGGGTGGACAAGGATTGATTATTAAACACGGGTGGCACACGAACAAGGGGACACAGAGGGAAGCTGAGTACCCAAATGAGCCACAGAGACATTAGAAAGAACTTTTTTCTTTCGAAATGGAATGCACTTTGAAGTGATGTGGTGGAGGCAGACTCTATACACAGTTTTAAATGTAGATATGACAGAGCCCAGTAGGCTCAGGAATCTGTACATCAGTTGGTTGACAGTTGAGAGGCGGGACCAAAAAGCCAGAGCTCAACCCCCACAAGCACAATTAGGTGAGTACAATTAGGTGAATACACACGCATACAGGAGCAGCCCGTAACAGCTATCTACCTCCCAGGTACCTATTTACTGCTAGGTAACAGGGGCATCGGTGTGAAAGAAACTCTGCCCATTTGTTTAAAAAATTATGTCTAATGTCTCTGTGGCTCATGTAGCTACTAATTTTCCACCTGTGTCCCATTATTCATGTACCACCCATACTAAACAGTTTGTCTTTATCTAATGTTAATTTCTCTGGGTACTTTGTAGGTGGTAATCATGTCACCTCTACCAAGACAGACATGATTGACATGACATACATGATTGACATGACAGACATGACAAAGACAGCAGAAGGCTGTCTTTTAACCCCCCCTTGTCATGAATATGGAAATTGGGAATAAATATACCTTAATAGAAAAAACGGACTTATTCAGGGGAGATGAAGATTGACTGACATCATTGACCATTAGCGATGTCTGTACAGGGTCACCGAGGTAACAAAACAGAAGTGCGAAATGGCAAGGAGTAGGAGGGTATTCCTATTTTGGAAAATAGCATATGTTTGAACGGAGAGATTGATAACTAATATGAAAATATGTAAACACCCCATGGACCAATGATCGGCAGGGGGAAAAAAATTGAAAACACCCCTGCGCCAATGATCGGCAGGGGGGAAAAATTTAGAACATCCCTGCGACTGGCAATCGGGGAAAAATGCACAAAACCCCTGCACCAATGACCAGCAAGAGAAAAAGCAAAATTGGCTGTCATTGGGGCCATTTCGACTACTAGTAGTAGGATAGGACTCAAATCGAAGCCGTTTTGCTTTTTCCAATGGCCGCGATTTGAGTCGTGATTTTTTTCAGTGGATTTAAAATGCAGCGATTTCAGTCGTGATTTTTTTCCGTGGATGACAAGTGTCGATCATTGAGTCGTGATTTTTTTCCGTGAAACAGTGATAGACCGTCTACGTGTCGTGATCTATTTTTTTATGGGAGTGCAAAGGTTCCCTCCTAGGCCCCAGTCATTTTGCTCAAGGAGATTAAATGGCCGCCTCTAGTCATCCCAAAATTTTGTTAGCTCAGTGACCCAGCACAGACATTGGTAAGGATTATGGTTAAGTAGGAAGGTTAAGTGGGAAGGTGGGTTTGGGTAAATATACAAAAAGGAGAAACAAAACTATATCTGTAAGGTTAGGTTAAGGATAATATATTTAACAAAATATGTCCAACAGAATAAATTACGTCTGAAAGGTTAGGTTAACGGTGGCGAAAAAGAACAAAATATATAAAACCTAATAAATACACTAAAATCAAAAGGTGTTAGGTTAAAGGGGGAAAAGTACGAGAGAATATAAGCTAAGTAAAGGTTAGGTGGGGGAGGTTAGGAAGGTAAGGGTAGATAAGTTACGATACGTTATGTTAGGTTAGGCTAAGTTAAATTAGTTAAGTTAGGTAATTCACGTTAGTTAAGTTAGGTAATTCACGTTAAGTTAGGTTAGGTTAAGTTAGCTTAGGTTAAGGTAGGTTAGGTTAGTTAAGTTAGGATAGGTTAGGTTAAGTTAGGTTAGATAGGTTAGGTTAGGTTAGTGAAGTTAGGATAGGTTAGGTTATGCAAATTAAGTTAGGTTAGTTTAAGTTAGATTAGGTTAGGTTGGGTTGGGTTAGGTAAGTTATGTTAGGATAGGTTAGGTTAGGTAATTTACATAAAGTTAGGATAAATTAAGTTAGGTTATGTTAGGTTAGGTTAGGTAATTTACGTTAAGTTAGGATAGGTTAAGTTAAGTTGGGTTTAGTTAAATTAGGATAGGAGAGGTTAGGTTATGCAAGCAAAATTAGGTTAGGTTAAGTTAGGCAAAGTTAGGTTAGGTTAGGATAGGTTAGGTTATGCAAGTTAGGTTAGGTTAGGGTAAGTTAGGTTATGTTGGGTTAGGTTAATGTAAATTATCTAACCTAACCCAACATAACCTAACTTACCCTAACCTAACCTAACTTGCATAACCTAACCTATCTTAACTTAACGTATCATACCTATCCTAACATAACCTAACTTAATCTATCCTAACCCAATGTACATTACCTAACTTAACCTAACCTAACCTAACTTAACCTAACTTAACTTGCATAACCTAACCTATCCTAACCTAACCTAACTTTGCCTAACTTAACCTAACCTAATTTAGCTTGCATAACCTAACCTCTCCTATCCTAATTTAACTTAACCGAACTTAACCTAACCTATCCTAACTTAACGTAAATTACCTAACCTAACATAACCTAACTTAACCTATCCTAACTTAATGTAAATGACCTAACCTAACCTATCTTAACATAACTTACCCAACCTAAGCTAATCTAACTTAACCTAACCTAACTTAACCAAACCTATCCTAACTTGCATAACCTAACTTATCTCAACTTCTATAACCTAATCAATCCTAACTTGCATAACCTAACCTATCCTAACTTAATGTATCTTACCTATCCTAACCTAACCTAACTTAACCTATCCTAACTTAACGAACATTACCTACCTTAACCTAACCTAACTTGCATAACCTAACCTATCCTAACTTAATGTAAATTACCTAAGTTAGGATAGGTTTGGTTAAGTTAGATTAGGTTAGTTAAGTTAGGATAGGAGAGGTTAGGTTTGCAAGTTAGGTTAGATTAAGGTAGGTATTGTACGTTAAGTTAGGATAGGTTAAGTTAGGTTAGGTTAGGATAGGTAAGATACGTTAAGTTAGGATAGGTTAGGTTATGCAAGTTTGGATAGGTTAGGTTATGCAAGTTAGGATAAGTTAGGTTATGCAAGTTAGGATAGGTTAGGTTAAGTTAGGTTAGGTTAAGTTAGATTAGGTTGGGATGGGTTAAGGTTGGTTGGGTTGGGTTAGGATGGGTTAGGTTATGGAAGTTAAGTTAGGTTAGGTTTAGTTAGGTTAGGTTAAGTTAGGTTAGGTTAAGTTAGACCTAACGTATATAACAATACATAAAAGTCTTTGGAGGGGGAATTATTGCTAAGGCAATCTATTCACACGATTTATTATGCGTCAGATTTCATGTGGTTTTCCCCACTAGAATCGTAAACAACATAATCTATCGAGTACGATGTGCAGTAGTCCAAGGTGGCGTCAATAATGGGGTGCTTTAAATTTCTTTAAATCATGAAATTGTAACACAATGGTCGAAAGTGTCATAATTGCTGTGCTTCAAATGGGAGGACAGGTTGCTCTCGTCCCTATCAATACCTTTGTTAGTAATTTAGGCATTTATTTTTGGTCAACAACGTGGTTGTGTTAAATAAACTTTTGATAAGAAATCCCACTAATAGTTTAAATTCAGGTGTTTTATTAAATAAAGTTAATACAATTGAGTGGAAATTTTATTTACATAAAAAGATGTGATAATGTAACATGCAGAAAATTAGTAAACTCTGGTGTTAGTTAAATGTTCCCATATATTTACCATATAAATGAACCAGTGATATACAGTAGTCTTCCCAATTATACTACGATAACTATTTTTCTTTTCATTGAGGTCAGTGCATATTTGCTGATGTGAAGATCACAGTCTTCCTCTGTCTTCGCGGTTCCCAATCCCACTCTCCTGCACGACAGTCTTGCTCTTTCCTTGGCACACAGCCTTCCTTTGTCATAATCATCCTCCGTTTAAGGAATTACAATCTTCGGGTGTTGTCACATTTCACGGGCCTCGAGCCCAGAAAATTTCAGCCCCCAACACTAGGAGACTCAGGGTGCTCCCGCCCACTACCACCACCAACATTCCCTGAAAATATATTATTTAACAAGTAAACAACTAAGAAACACGCTGAACACCTTGTCTCAAAATATAGTTTGAAGCTATTGCTAATGAATTTCACATAAATATATATACAATATTTCTGATCCAATTGTATCCAATTATGGTTTCGTTATAGTGAAGCAGTGTTGCCAGAAACGTTCTACGTTACCCAAAGGTTCGTAAGACTGAGGGACGACTGGATGGTATATTTCTGAGGGGGTCGAAGACACAATGTCGAGTTGGGAACGGTTGTCTTAAACCAACGGTCAAATAACCCGAACTCTACCAGGGCCATCATCCTGTGCAGGTGGAGCCGGAGTGAATTGTACAAGAAACTTAACATAACACCAACTGTTAACCCAATTACAAAATTATCTCAATACCAACTATGTACTCACCGAGTTTACCTAGTTGTGCTTGCGGGGATTGACGTTTGTCTCTTTGGTCCAGTCTCAACCGTCAATCAACTGGTAAACAAATTCCTGAGCCTACTGGGCTCTATCATATTACATTTGAAACTGTGTATGGAGTCAGCCTCCACCACATCACTTCCTAGTGCATTCCATTTATTAACTACTCTGACACTGAAAAAATTCTTTCTAACGTCTCTGTGGCTCATCTGGGTACTAAGTTTCCACCTTCGTCCCCTTGTTCGTGGTCCACCCGTGCTGATGAGATTGTCTTTGTCCACCCTATCAATTTCCTTGAGAATTTTGTAGGTGGTTACCATGTCTTCCCTTACTCTTCTGTTTTCCAGGGGCGTGAGGTTCAGCTCCTTTAGCTTTTCCTCGTAGTTCATACCTCTCAGTTCCGGGACGAGTCTGGTGGCATACCGCTGAATCTTCTCTAACTTTGTCTTGTATTTAACTAGGTATGAACTCCAGGCTGGAGCGGCATACTCCAGGATTGGTCTGACATAAGAGGTATACAGGGTCCTGATCGATTCCTTACACAAGTTTCAAAAGGCAGTTTTTATGCTGGCCAACCTAGCATATGCCGCTGATGATATCCTTTTGATGTGGGCCTCTGGGGACAAGTTCGGTGTGATATCAACCCCTAGATTTTTCCCATCTATTTAACTCTTCAGGATTTCACTTCCCAGATGGTACCTTGTGTTCAGCCTTCTGCTCCCTTCGCCTAATTTCATTACTTTACACTTTCCTGAGTTGAACTTTAGCAGCCATTTTCTAGACCATTCCCCCAGTTTGTTCAGGTCATCTTGTAGTCTCTGTCTATGTTCATCTGTCTTGATTCTTCTCATAATATTTGCATCATCAGCAAATATTGGGAGGAATGAGTCTATACCCTCCAGGAGATCGTTTACATATATTAGGAACAGGATGGGTCCAAGTATTGAGCCCTGTGGGACTCCGCTGGTAACATCTCGCCACTCCGATGTCTTCCCCCCTCAGAGTTACTCGCTGTTTCCTGTTGCTTAAATACTCCTTTATCCACTGGAGCACCTTCCCTTGTACACCTGAATTTGCTACAACTTTTTTAACAGCCTTTTATAATGTACTGTGTCAAAGGCTTTCTGGCAGTCCAAGAAAATGCAGTCTGCCCACCCTTCTCTTTCTGGCCTAAATTGTGTTGTCTGGTCATAGAATTCTATTAAACCTGTGAGGCACGATTTACCCTATCTGAACCCATGTTGGAGGTGTGTTACAAGATTATTTCCCTCCAGATGCTCTACGAGCCTTTTCCTCACAATATTCTGCATCATCTTGCATGGTATACAAGTTAGGGAAATTGGCCTGTAGTTCAATGCCTCTTGCCTGTCACCCTTCTTGTATATTGGAACTACGTTAGCTGTCTTCCAGTTTTCCAGTAGGTCTCCTGTTTTCAGTGACCTGTTATACACCGTAGATAGTGGCACACTTAGTACTTCTGCACCTTCCTTTAGTATCCACGGTGAGATTCTGTCAGGCCCAACAGCCTTTGTCACATTCAGCTCCAACAGATTCCCTTTGACCTTATCACTGGTGACATTGAAATCCTCCAAGGTTGCTTGGTTTGCCTCCTCCTCATTTAGTACAGGGGCTTCTCCTTGTTCTTTTGTGAAGACCTGGAATCTCTTGTTGAATTCTTCACACACCTCCTTATTATTTTCTGTGTATCTGTTCTCCCCTTTTCTCAGTTTCATCACTTGTTCCTTCACTGCTGTTTTCCTCCTGATGTGGCTGTGGAGCAGTTTTTGTTGGGTCTTGGCTTTACTCGCGATGTCATTTTCATACTGTCTCTCTGCTTCCTTCCTCACTCTGAGGTACTCATTTCTGGCGCTCTGGTATCTTTCCCTGCTCTCTGGTGTTCTGTTATTTCTGTAGTTTCTCCTTGTTATTTTATTCAGTTGCTTCTCTACCTTACATTCCTGGTTGAACCATGGATTCTTCTGTTGCTTTTCGTTTTTCTCCTTTTGGACGGGGATAAACCTGTCTGCAGCTTCCTGGCACTTCTGGGTGATATAATCCATCATGTCCTGCACATTCTTGTCTCTAAGTTCTGTTTCCCATGGTATTCCCCTGAGGAAGTTCCTTATCTCGTTATATTTTCCTCTTCGGTAATTTATTGTTTCCCTCTGATCCCATCCTTGGATAGGTTATCCCTACCTCCACCAAGTACTCAAAAATCAGAACACTGTGGTCACTCATTTCTATGGGGACTTCAACTTCGACTTCCGTTATTTCTGACTCATTTAGGGTGAATATCAAGTCGAGTCTAGCTGGTTCATCATTGCCTCTCACTCTTGTGGGTTCCTTGACATGCTGGGTCAGAAAGTTCCTTGTTGTCACTTCCAAGAGTTTAGCTCTCCACGTATCTGCACCACCATGTGGGTCCCCGTTCTCCCAGTCTATCTTGTCTATCTTTCCATGGTTGAAATCGCCCATGATTTTGAGCCATTCCTGCAGGCAACTGAGGCTGCTCTCTTTATTATATTGTTGGTTGCCATGTTGTTCCTATCAAACTCCTGTCATTTAGGGGAGGGTTGTAAATGACTGTTACTATTATCTTTTGTCCACCCATTGTTATAGTTCCTGTTATGTAATCTCTGAACCCGTCACAGCCAGGAATTTACATCTCATAAAAACTCCAGTCCTTCCTTATCAACAGGGCCACTCCTCCACCTCCTTCCCCTTCCTTCTCTTTCCTTACTGTATAGTAGTCCTTCGGAAACACTGCGTCTGTTATGACCCCTGACAATTTTGTTTCCGTGAGTCCTATTACATCTGTGGTTTCTTCTTGGGCCCTTTCTGCCAGTTCACTTGCTTTATTGGTAATCTCATCGATGTTTGAGTACATTATCTTGAAGGTCACTGTCCTAAATCCATTTCACCCTCTCTCCCCACATGTATAGGAAGATGTTCCATGGGCATTGCTACTTGGATAGGCTCATCCTCCTGAGAGGTAGTTGCCAGGAGTTCAGTGGGAGGTGGAGTGGGGGATGGAGGGCTTAGATCTTCCCCAGGCTTGCTTGGGACATGAAGTAGTTCTGTGGGTGAGGGGACAGTGAGTGCTTGAGGTTGTGGGGGGCAGGGATTGCTTGGGAACCGGGCACGCCCTCCTGTGGTGTACTTAACAGCGGGTTCGGGCGTGTACACACACATACCCCCTCATACTTGGGGGGAGGTATGTGTGTATGTGTACTTACTTAATTGTACTCACCTAATTGTGCTTGCTGGGTTGAGATCTGGCTCTTTGGTCTCGCCTCTCAACTGTCAATCAACTAATGTACAGGTTCCTGAGCCTACTGGGTTCTGTCATATCTACAATTGAAGCTGTGTCTGGAGTCAGCCTTGACCACATCACTTCCTAATGCTTCCCATTTGTCTACTACTCTGAAAAAATCTTTCTAACGCTTTTATGGCTCATTTGGGCACTCAATTTCCACCTGTGTCCCCTAGTGTATGTGCCCCTTGTGCTAAATAGCCTGTCTTTATCTACCCTATCAATTCCACTGAGAATCTTGTATGTGGTGATCATGTCCCCTCTAACTCTTCTGTCTCCCAGTGATGTGAGGTTTAATTCCCGTAGTCTCTCCTCGTAGCTCATACCCCTCAGTTCGGGTACTAGTTTGGTGGCAAACCTTTGAACCTTTTCCAGTTTAGTATTATGCTTGACTTTAGTTTACACACAGACAACTGTAACCTGAAAACACTAAACAGAGTTTTATTTATGCTAACAGCTTGTCTTATATATTCGCATTTGGGTGAGGTGATATGTTGCAACGATTTTGGATGAGGTGAACAAACTTTTGACCAACACAAGACAGAACACGGAACATTGGGTATTAATTGGATAAATGAGAGGGAAGAATGGAAGTAATTGCAAAGGGCCTATTGGCCCATACTTCCTCTTGGTGCTTCTATATTGGTACGAAGTCTTTAAATGGGTAGAACATAGTTGTGTATTAATTGGCTGTTGATTGCTGGTGTTGACTTTTTGATGTGTAGTGCCTCGCAGATGTCAAGCCGCCTGCTATCCCTGTATGTATCGATGATTTCTGTGTTGTTTGTTAAGAATTCTCTGGTGATGGTCTGGTTGTGAGAGGAGATTATATGTTCCTTGATGGAGCCCTGTTGCTTATGCATTGTTAATTGCCTGGAAAGAGATGTTGTTGTCTTGCCTGTATACTGAGTTCTTTGGGGGTTACAGTCCCCAAATGGGTTTTGAAGGCATAGACGACGTTGGTCTCCTTTAAGGCGTTCTGCTTTGTGTCTGGAGAATTTTTCATGAGTAGAGTGGCCGTTTTTTGGGTTTTATAGTAAATCGTCAATTGTATCTTCTGATTTTTGTCTGTGGGGATAACGTTAGTTGACTCTTCAGAGGTTGCATGGCATTTCACTTTCCTTCTTATGATGTCTTCAACGAAACCATTGGAGAAGCCGGTTGTTGACTGAGACCTGCCTTACCCTACAGAGTTCGTCATCGACTTGCTTCCATCCTGAGCTGTGACTGAGAGCACGGTCGACGTAAGTGTTGACAACACTCCTCTTGTACCTGTCTGGGCAGTCACTGTTGGCATTGAGGCACATTCCTAAGTTTGTTTCCTTAGTGTAGACTGCAGTGTGGAAACCTCCACTCCTTTTCCACGACTATTACATCTAGAAAGGGCAGCTTCCCATCCTTCTCCATCTCGTAAGTGAAACTCAACACAGAATTCCGCTCGAATGCCTCCTTCAGCTCCTGCAGACGTCTGACATCAGGTACCTGTGTAAAAATGTCATCAACATACCTGCAGTATATGCCAGGTTTCAAGTTCATGTCAACTAAGTCCTTCTGTTCGATGGTACCCATGTAGAAG